TGTGTGTGTGTGTGTGTGTGTGTGTGTGTGTGTGTGTGTGTGTGTGTGAGGGATTCATGGGGAAGATCAGGATGGTTGAGGATTGGACGGCAGTAAGTGAGAAGGCGATCATGATGCGCGTGTCGGACTATTGATTGGTCGGACATGGGATGGATGGCGAACATGGGTGGGTGAGGATAGGATTTGGGAAGGAGGGAGAGAAAAGGGATGGAGGAAGCGAGACGACTGGGGTAACAGAACAAAGATGACGTGGAAGGGCACCATTCCATGCTTTGTGTTTCTTCTTTTTCAGTTTTCTAACGGTAGATTGTGAATCATGGGTCAAGCGTTCCGCTTGCCTTACTTCGTCATTTTTGAACTCACTTCGTCATTTTTGAACTCACTTCGTCATTTTTGAATTTCCTGTACAGTTTTCTTTTTTACTTCTTTTCGATAATAGAGAATGCTCTCATGCACTCTGAACACTCTTTGTTTGGGAAGGAAGGATCAGGTGGTGGGAATATGATCACGTTGAAAAGGAGGGATGATAACGGCGAAGGGGGGAACAATACCCAGGGAACAACATGCGGGAGAGAAGGGGAAGGACGATGGAAAATGGACGTTGAATGATAGGCGGATGCAGGGCAACATCATGCCTCCACGGGAGGGATGATAACGCGGAAGGGACTAAGGAACAATGTGCAACAGAGGAAGGAGAGAGAGCAAAGAGACGGAAGAGGAGACACAATTGGGCTGAAAAATGAAAGATGGCCTAGACGTCGAATGGAGAGCATTTCCAATGAGCTATCCAAAGTGATATTGCAGTGTTGCTTCCAGATCCGCATGCTAATCTGATTTGGGCTTGGTGAGGCGAATTGGGAGAGCAGTCCAGAGGATTTGAGCAGCTTGTATGGAAAAGCGTTAGGACAAGAGAAATGCCCATAGTTCGCATACCTTGGGGAAGTACTCATTGGCTTCCTTAAACCTTTGTAGGTGACAATTAAGAGTTATTGTTCTTGGGTAGAGCGTTGTTATCTTGTCTGAACTATCTGATAAGATATTTCTCTATACTCTTAGACTGTTCTTGTTATCTTTGAGCAGCGAGGAAGGCTGAGACAGGAGGACATGGTCTGATGATGGAGTGTGTCCATATCCCTGTGCCATTTGCGTTGTCTTTCTTTTTTTTTCCTCACACAACACATGTACTGCATCTATTTCATGAGGCACCAGTCTAGTTCCTCCTTGCCGGCACGCTAAAGTTTGAAAAGAGCAAAACAATGAGAAAATAGAAAGTGGGATAGAACAGGTAGAAGGAAGCAACCTTCCACCCGGTACTAGGCGCCTAAAGGCAAGAGAGGCTGTATATCTCAGACACAGCCGCTTGCTGCAAGGCTTCTACAGGGGCACTCATGTTGGCCGGGATGTTACCTAGTCACACAGCATGTGTTACATGCTGCACCTGCAACAGGCTGTGCGGGCCCCCTTTCAGGCCCGTGACATTTTCAGACCAAAAGCCTGAAAACAAGGTCCTACAGGCCACGTGTCGTTTCAGCCTGAAAGCCTGAAAACAAGGGCCTACAGGCCCTGTGTCGTTTCAGGCTAAATCAAGGCCTTTCCGGCCCCGAGTGTTTGCAGCCTGAAACTGAGGGCCATTTGCAGGCCCTCATCAGTTCGACCCACCCTGAAACTCAAGCAACAAACCAGGGTTTTAGCAGAGGCCATTTCGGGCCTGTTTTCAAGACAACCCCTGGTTGAGCTTAAATGCCAGGGTCTGGCACATTTCCGCACTGGCAAGAGCACCCTCCTGGACGGGCCAGCACTGGCCTGCCCTGCAGGCCGGCAGGTAGTTCCTAGGTACTTCCCAGGCACTTCACGTGCAGTTCAGGATGCAGGAGGTAGTCTTCAGGATTCGGCAGCAGCACTCTGGA